GAAAGACAAACAATTGTCTACAAGATGTAATGGAACTAGTGATGAACGGATGGCCAGGTGGAAAACGCAACATTCCTCCCTCAGCATTGCAATATTTTGACATGTGTGACACTCTATCTGCAGCTGATGGCGTACTCCTTAAAGGCGAAGGTATAGTCATCCCCCAATCTTTGAGGTCAAGAATAAGGAAGAGGCTACATAGCTCTCACCTCGGTGCTGACAGTATGCTCCGACTAGCACGAGGATCTGTATTCTGGCCCGGAATGGCCAGCGACATAAGGCAATTGGCCGACTCATGTGAAGCCTGCCAAGAAATGAAGCCAAAGAATCAACGTGAGCCTCTCAAGCAACACAAGGAGGGTGACGAACCCTGGCAAAAGATTGGAATTGACATTTTCCAAATTGTGGATAAGTACTACCTAGTAACTGTTCATTACTATTCTACATTTATCGAGGTTGATCTCCTCAGTACTCAAACAAGCACTTGTGTAATTAACCTACTCAAGAGTCATTTCGCTCGATACGGAATCCCCAGGATGATTGTATCGGACGGTGGCCCACAGTTCTCCAGCTCTGAATTCGATTTGTTTGCTAAAGCCTGGCATATCATCCACGTGACTTCATCACCCATGCACCAGCAGGCAAATGGAAAAGCTGAAGCAGCCATGAAATCCATGTAGAAACTGCTGATCAAGACTCACAAAGAAGGTAGTGATCCACTTGAAGCTCTATTGGAGCACCGCAATACCCCGCGACAGGACGTTGGTCTTAGCCCTGCTAANNNNCAACACTACACACCACCGGTAAAGTGATTCAACGTTCATTTATCAATGATTTATGTACATAGTCAGCAATATATCACTCTAGGTGAGGCAAACGGTAAATCTGGTACATTCATTATGAAACAACGGTCGGCTACACAAACAGATTGTATGGGTCCCCTGTGATAATACTTGAACTATTACAAGTGAAGTAACCATCTGATTCGTTCTGTCCTCGTGGAATTTTTAACTCTTTCCCGGACTTTCGTTTAACTGGACTTTGTGACTGTTTGTATTTCGATTTTTTTAACATTACCATGATGATAATGCTGTAAGACTCCAACTGGCATCTAGCCATAGTACTTGCTCTACGCAACTATGCGAAAGCCTTGATTACGCAACCAAGTCATCATTTGGATTCGAATTACATTATCTTCTTATATCAAGGTCACCAAAACATGACAAAAAAAGTTATAGAAGTAAAAATGATTGGAATTAACTCTTATGAAGTTCTTACCGTTAATAATCAGTCACACCATCCTCCTGAAGAGTTGCTTTTTACAAGAAATTCCTCACAAATACTACCCGTTTGAATCGTATGCAGATCAAGATTTTGTGTTTTCATGCTTTAGTAACCGCTCGATCTTAGACTGGGGCGGCCACGCGGCCACGCACAGACGTCCCGGGACCTTAGGCGAGTTTCTTTCATAGTTAGTAGAGCCCGAAATAATTGCGGAGGTAAACCCACATAGCAAATCGTTTCAGGCTCCTTGTGACGCCTACAACAAAAAGACTAAGTTGTGCTCGTATGATTAACTTACATATGTCAATCTTTGCGAAAAGTAGGGTTAACGTTTCTGAAGGTGTGGTGGTGCTGCGTCTTTGCGGATATTGTAAGATAATTCCGTTTTATAACCCGAGTTGATGATGTAAATTGGCCACAGTAAAGAAGTTTTAAAGCTGAAATATCGAGTGTCAGTCCTTCGTCTGAGTGAAATGAAGAATAGCGAGAGCATGCGCAAGAAATTAAGGGCTAACGTTCGAAACGTCAGCTTGGAAAATATTCACGATAATCAATTTACATTATCGACTCCGTTGATAAAAGCAAATTAGATTATCTTAGCAAAAGCGGATTTTGTTTGAGACTCGACACTTCTATTTAAAGACAATTTGTTCTTTTATTAATTGCTGTTATTTGCTTGTTTAAGTTTCCTTTCTTTTCTTGTATTTGTTTACTGTCTAAAGGAAATACCAGATTGAGGGGAGTGCTAAGACACCTATGGTCCATTTAAAATTTCTACACTACAATGGAAGAGTTTCAAAAAAAAAACATATTGATACTTGAATTTAACAACCCGTACAAGAAAAACAATAAATAACGGGCATAAATGATTATTCCTAAGCTAAACAAACAAACATACAAACAAACGACAAAAAAAAGCAGCTATGAGACTGATACTAACAAGGTTAAACATTTCCTTATCAAAGACTTTTAAAGGAAATTGAAGAAAGCAACCACATTTTTCCTGTTTGTTCTATTTTGAATTATCCTCACTTTTAGCATAACAAGAATGGGTATATTGCAAAACCTTAGCAAGCCAACGAGCTTCTGTTAGTGAAAATGAATGCTTTTGATGTAGCTTTGATTAAAATGCACCAACAATCAAAATTGTCCTTTAGAACAACCGCACCATGATACTTATGTCTTTTTTGCCCTTTGGGAAAAAACTCTTAACTTCACAACCAAGCATTGAGTTAATATACGAAAATCATTATATTCAAATTTGATTCAATGAATGCTTTCTAACACCATATTTCTCGTAAATAAATATTGAACACTTTAAATTAGTCAACATGCTCGATCGCTTGACGTGTAGCCTGCGATTCAAGACACTAAAATAGAACGCTTGGCTTATCTTAGATTTGATCGCAAAGGCTTTTATTTGAAGAAAAACTTTCCGCTATATGCAACGTCCACGACATTGCTACACCTTA